AGCTACGTTATTCACGTAGCTGAAGTTGCGTACCTTAGTTCGATTTGGGGGTTTAGTGTAGACCAAGCCTGTGCATTACTTTGCATTTATCAACATTAAATTTCATCTGCCATTTTGTTGTCCAGTCACCCAGTTTTGAGAGATCCCTTTGTAGCTCTTCGCAGTCTGCCGGGGTCTTAACTATCTTTAGTAATTTTGTATCATCTGCAAATTGCTTAAGCAAAGTAAGCTGTCATGGGATAAGAGGGAAGGTCCTCTCATGGATTGGTAACTGGTTAAAATATAGGAAAGAAAGGGTTAGAATAAATGTTTAGTTTTCAGAATGGAGAGAGGTAAATAGTGGTGTCTCCCAGAGGCCTGTACTGAGACCAGTACTATTCAACATATTCATAAATGATCGGGAAAAAGGGGTAAACAGTGAGGTGGCAAAGTTTTCAGATGATACAAAACTACTCAATATAGCTAAGTCCCAGGCAGACTGCAAAGAGCTACAAAAGAATCTCTCAAAACTGGGTGACTGGGTAACAAAATGGCAGATGAAATTCAATGTTGATAAAAGCAAAGTAATGCACATTGGAAAACATAATCCCAACTATACACAGAAAATAATGATGTCTAAATTGGCTGTTCTTGTTTTTTTATAGGTATCAAAGCAGAGGGAGATTTTAAGGGGCAAATGTGGTGGTTTCGTTAATTTGGATGGTTGCCATGCATACACAGCTAGTTACATGGTGTCTCTAGACTGCAGAGGTTTAGATCGTGGCATATTTTTGGGATTTCAATTTAGTGGTCTGTACAACCCAAGTGGTTTGTGGGTTGTTGTTATATATGCCTGCTTGTAAATAATCACAACTCAGTGCTTGAGCTCCACCCTAGCTGTGCATATTCCTCTATAACTCCCTCTGGTGAGTCAGAGAAAATAACTCGCCAGGTATGAGGTACATTTAGGTCTACAATCAATGGTGGTCAAGGAGAAAGTCTCTAGCTCAGTGGCTCTCAACCTTTTCAGACTACTGTACCCTTTTCAAGACTTAGACTTGTCTTGTGTACCCAGTGGCGCTGCAACATTTTTATTAGTGGGAGTGCTGAAAGCCAGACCCCTTACCCCTGTCCAGCCCCCAGAGCTGAGGCTGGGAGTAAAGCCCCATGCATGGGGTGGCAACTGGGATCCCGGGCCCAGGGACGGCAACCTGGATCCCAGGCGCGGGGTGGCAGCAGAGACTTGGGCGCACGGGGCAACAGCCAGGACCCCGGGTGTGGGGTGGCAGCCGGGCCCCTGGGCGCAGGGCCGGCAGCAGAGCCATGGGTGCACAGGGCGGCAACTGGGACCCCGGGTGTGCGGGGCCAGCAGCTGAGACCCCGGGCGTGAGAGGCAGCAGACGGGACCCCATGTGCGGGGCTGGCAGCTGGGAGCCCGGGGCTGTTGCAGCACACCCTGCACCTCTAGTTCCTGCGCCGATGTGTGTACTCCCAAGTTTCTTCTCACTTAAAAAATCACAAAATCAGACATAAAAACACAAAAGTGCCACAGCACACTACTACTGAAAAATTGCTGACTTTCTCATTTTTACCACAGAATTATAAAATAAATCAATTAGAATATAAAAATTGTACTTACATTTCAGTCTACAGTATACAGAGCAGTATAAACAAATCATTGTCTATGAAATTTTAGTTTGCACTGACTTCGCTAGTGCTTTTTATGTAGCCTGTAGTAAAACTAGGCAAATATCTAGATGGGTTGATGTACCCCCTGGAAGACTCTGCATACCCCCATGGGTACATGTGCCCATCTTTGAGAACCACTGCTCTAGCTTAACCAGAACAGTACATTCTCTCAGGTACTGCGGATGCTGGAGGGTGCACATAACCCACTGGGTTGGCTCTCATGTTGATCATGAATTGTGTGTCTGAGTACCACTGTCCTCTAATAGATGGGATACAGCAGACCAGCATAGGGGTATATCAAATAGCTCCAGCTCTCACAGCTCTTGGAGGAGAAACCTGGGCTGAAGCCAAAGGCGGTGAATCCTATTCTCTATGCCACATGTAAACTAGGGTGACCAGATGTTCCAATTTTATAGGGACAGTCCCGATATTTGGGGCTTTTTCTTATATAGGCTCCTATTACCCCTCACTCCCTGTTCAGATTTTGCACACTTGCTGTCTGGTCACCCTAATGTGAACAGCCACTGAAACCCAGTGTTTTATGTGAACACCATGGATTGGTACAAGGCACATAGGCAAGAGCTGCCATTTTTGATGTTACGACAGCATGGGAGGCTGCTGAATGCTGGAGGGAGATGCCCATTAGAAGTTGGATTTGTCCATGCGCACACATGCATTTGCTGGGGAATTAAATCAATCCTCCCATTATAATGTAGAAGGAATATTGTTATAAACATGTAGCAGCAAGAGAGGTTTCCCACCACAGAGCTTCACCCAAGCAGGCAACTTGGGTCTAACCACATCAGCTGAAATGGAAAGAGCAATGAACCAGGAGAAACAGATCCATGTTTCCCTTCCAGCAGCTGAACTGAAGCAACAGTAGGGCCCTTTAGGCCAAGTCTACACTTAAAAATTAGATTGACCTAGCTACATAGCTCAGGGCTGTGAAAAATATTGTGCCCTGTATGACATAGTTAGATCGACCTACCCCTCATTGTAGACACAGCTAGGTCAATGTAAAATCCTTTCCATCAATGTTGGAAGTGTCTATATCACCGTGACACAGCTGCAGCACCCTATCTGTGCCACTGTAACGGCTGCAGTGTAGGCATACCCTTAGCGTCTGTGATGTTTCTTTGTTCTTGCAAGTGATGCTGGACTTTGCCTCTGCCCCCCTACCATCCTTGGTCTGATTGTTCTCCTGCATAAAACCAAGTTTGCTTAATTTCCATGTTCCTGTCCTACTAGACACACACAGGGGCACTGGAACAATTTTTATAGCAGGGGTGCTGAAAGTCATCGAACAAAGCTGTAAACCCCCTCTCTGTATATGATGGAAACCACTTCAAGCTGCAGCCCCAACACCCCTAGTTCCAGCACCCCTGCACACACACACAAACACACACACACAGACCAGCTTGAAAACTAATTCACTCTTACTTGGGAAAAAGCATCTTTCTTACAGACTGCCCTCAGGACAACATACAAGAGTTGTCTATAGACACATACAAGCCAAACTCACTGTGTGTGCTTCCTCCACTCTCCAGTGCAGCTTGTCACAGCAGTGGCAGCAGCATCCAATTTTTTAAAAAAGTGATGCCTCACCTTTTATATTTCCCATCCCCTGGCAGGAAGCAGAAAGGAGTGTGGCAGTGCCCATGCTCAGAGAAGCAACGCAGCATATTGGGATTCGTAGTCATCTCTGCAGCCAGGCATCCTCTCTGCAATGCAAACAGGAAGGGTTAGACTTCATTTCCCAGGCTGCGCAGCATGGCAGGCTGCCAGGTTGTGGGGAGAGGTTTTAGTCTTTAGGGTGGATCCCAGGACACTCCTCTGGTAATAACAGGTTCTGGGCGCAGCCAGGCTACTAATGAAAAGGCAGTGATAATCTCAGAATCAGAGTGCAACAGGGCTGCTCTGTTACTTTTCAGTGGTATGTTTGGTCATTCCTGCAATTCCTTCTGTTTTTAGATTCAGAGCTATTTGTAACTCACTTTCAGCTCTTTCATTTCATGGCCCTTGAAAATGGAACTGTCATAATTTAGACCAATAAATACACATATATATATACACACACCTACCCAAGAATACAAGTAATTTAATATATATATATATATATATATATATATATATATATATATATATATATATATATATATATATATATATATATATATATA